CCATTGTTCTCAATAAATTTTTATTTTGCAAATATAAAAATTTGTTTATTTTAATAAAATTTCGAAATTGCTACCCATCGTGACAATATATCACATAAATTCAGATGAATAAATTTTTGGTAAAATTTTTTCTTTCCAATTAATAAGCTGATCGGCCAATATTCCAAAACTAGTGTCAATTCTCCTTAAAAATTCTCTTAATTTTGTAATTTCTTTCACAAAATTGATTACCGATTTTATGTCCCAGAGCATTGCCAATCCAACATTAACTGTTGGCCGAATTGGAATCAAGACATCAATTAGTGTTTGCCTTACCTTTATGGGACTATTAGTGAAATCATATCCGTGTACAATTAATCTTTCATTATATACTTGTAAAGTAATAAATCCGATTTCTTCAATTAGTGTTTGGATAGAATTTGTCATATATTGACTGTCAAAATTATAACGTAAATAGGCTCCAGACATTAACATTGCTAATATAAGCTTTATTCGATCCCTTTCTTTCTTATTAAGTGATGAATTAGATTTACTGACTTCAAGCACACCTACTTCCATTCCAAATTGGTGAACTATGTCCTTACAAAGAAATTTACCATCAGGGCGTATTCCATTACTTCTACTAGAAAAATTATTATCCAAATTAAAGTTTTCTGAACTCAAATTAACAAATGTTAATCCCTCATAAATAGAAGGTGCTATATTTAAAGTATTTTCGTTATTATTAGCTACCGAGGTTGATGATCGCCTACTGGTACGGTTCGAAGAATTAGATGATGATCTTGATCCTTTGCTTGCTTGTTGACTTGATTCTGTATAAGATTCGTCTCTAATATTAAGAGATAAAATTTCAATAGGAATAAGATAAAAACTGTAAACCCAACTCTAAATAACTTATTACCTACATTGTAAATTTCATATACTTTAGGCCTGAGACCAAAGTTTTTAGCAGCAGATTTAATACATCTATATACCATTCAGTTTCTGTCATGTTTTCAATACTGATACCCACAACGTTCTTTTGTATACATTTGCTGAAAAAACATTAATAAAAAAACAAACTTATACGTAATATAAGCGCGAACAGTGTTAACATACTTACAAAGTATCTATGAATTCCTTAAGCCAAGATTCTTCTTCATTGCATTCAAACAGAGAATATTTCACGTTGTTAACATTATTTTTAAGCCAATCTACAATGTGATCCGAGAGAGAACCAAGAAAAGGACAAGAAATTGGATCATCAACTATCAAATAGTATTGTTCGTTGAGATGGTCCGATTTCATATCATCGATCTCGAATCGTTCAAGATTTTGCAAAACTCGTCTCTTAAAGTCAATCAAATATTCTTGATCAGATCTGAAATTGGCCATCTGTAAAAAATTTCATTATTAAGTAAAAGATTAAATAAATAAATAAATATATAACTCACAATTATATTCTCGACCATCTTCTGCCAGGGATTTTCTCGGTTATTTTTAATTCTTTGTTCTATTTCTAAAATCTCTT